GGACCCGCGTCGTCGTCACAAAGGCCAACGGCGCGGCTTGCTCCTCCAGCAGCGAGCGTGCTTGCCTAGGCGACGGGTTGAAGTCGTTGACCACAAATGCGATGCTTGGCGCCGTGACGTGAACAGCGCGGAGGCCGTCGCAGAGGTCAGTCACGTCATTCAGACTCTCGCCGTCAATCTGGGTCGCCCCAAGGATGCTGGGCCGCAGCCTCATCGCCGGACCACGATCGATTCTGTGAGGAGGTGCGCGGCGTGGATGTCGCTGAGAGTTGTGGGTGGCGGGAAATGGGACGCACGTTGTTCGCGGTGTTTGTTCCACGAAAAAAAAATTCTCGCCAATTCTCGCAAACCTTCATGCCACCTCGCGGTCGTCCCTCGTCGTTCTCTCTCGCATGCCCCGTCGTCCTCTGCCTCATCGTTTCCTTTCGTTCGTTCTGTGACGACGACGCCGCCTGCCTATCCCTTGCTCTCGCGGCTTCTATTTTATCCCCGAGGAAGTAACTCTTTTATCTGCGGCCTCGTTGCGCGAACGACAGTGTGAAAGCACACATACACATACATACTGTGCTGCATGAATGCTTGGGCAAGTGTGAACAACACCTCGTGACCACGGCGCCGCAGGCGCCTGTTGATGGGTCCAGGTCGAGGGTCCAGGTGATAGCACTGGATGGGCAATGCATACGCCTAGTTGGACCTCAGATCGCCCGACCGCGTCCCGGTGCTCTGTGGTCGGATTTGTGACGCCGCCGCACCGCGCCGCGGCCGGGGGCCCTCCGGAGGCCAAGGATGGCCGTGATGGACCGGGACGAGCTCTGGGAGGTAGAGTGTCAGTGAGTACATTGTAGAGTCAGACGGTATGCACAATATCTCTCAGTCTAGCTAAGCCTGGGAAGGCGATGCCGGAGCCGTACAACAGCTTGATGGTGCTTCGCCGGCGTGCGTCCCGGAGCGGTCCCGGACGGGGGCCCAGGGGAGGAAAATGGAGGACAACGCCGACACCGCTCTGATTCGACTTTTTACTTGAAACAAAGACAGTGGCACGCGCCGCGGCGCGGTGCATGCCACTGTCAGGAGCGGATCCGCCAGTTAGTCGTGTTCACGCCGGGATCGTGTCCTCCCTCCACAACTTGCCCAACCATTCAGGGCGACGAGTATGTGTGTGTTGTATGCTGCGGCGCCTGGCGCTCACGCTCACCGCTGCGGCGCTACTCGCGGCCATCGCCGAGGCGAGGCGGCTCTACCGCCTGTGCGCGGCGCTCAGGCATGAGATCGCCACGCAGCAGTCGCTGAGGGCAGCAGAGCGTGCCGGGAGGACCGTGGCAGAGCGGCGGCTGCGGCGAGCAGCGTCCGTGGTCAACCCTGCGACGTGCGGCTACCGGCCAATCGGCCACATAGAGTCGTGTTTTGTGGAGAGGCGCGGCACGCCGCGCCAAGGCCTGCTCGTGCCGGATGCTCGGGCGCGACTGCGGCTAGACCCGCGCGCGGTGCAGCCCGCGGCGGCGCTCGAGGGTCTCGAAGGCTTCTCGCACGTCTGGCTCATCTTCGAGTTTCACGAAAACACCAATGCCGCCAAGCTCCGCGGCAGCGGCGGCGGTGGAAGTGGCGGCGGAGGGAGTGGTGGCGGCGGAGGGAGTGATGGCGGCGGTGGCGGCGGCGGTGGCGGCGGCGGCGGCAAAGGCGCCGGCGCCACAGTAGAGGCCGCGGCAGAGGCTCTCTCACCTCCATCAGGTTTTTCCAAGCGCCAGCGCGGCCGAGCACAGCAGCGGCAGCAGCAGCAGCAGCAGCAGAGGCGGGAGTGCGAGGCGGCGGCGTCGGCCGCGCCGCAGGTGCGTGCCAAGGTGCACCCGCCCGGCCTACTGGGCGGCTCGATCGGCCTCTTCGCCACGCGCACGCCTCATCGCCCCAACCCGATCGGCCTCTCCCTCGCGGCGCTGCTGCACGTAGAGGGCGGCACGCTCCTACTCGGCGGCGCAGACCTCATCGACGGCACCCCGGTGCCGGGCTGGCCCTCGGGCTCTGAACCGCCCTCGGGGGTAGAGCCTCGGGGTCGACCTCGACGTTGCAACCCCGCAGGTGCTCGACGTCAAGCCGTACTTGCTCCACGACGCTCCGGCCGGCGCCACGGTGCCGATCAGAGCGGGCGGGTGCCGCGCCCCTCCCCCCCCCTCTGAACCTTCTCGGAAGCTTCCTGCAGGTGCCGAGCTGGTGCGCGGCCCGCTCGGACGCGTCGCGCATCGCGTCCGTCCACTTCACCGCCGCTGCCGAAGCGCAGCTCGCCGCCGCCGTCGCGGACGGGTCGCTGCGCTTCTACACGGACCTGGTGAGCGGTGGCGAGCAGCCGCACACCCCTCCTCCACCTCCCCGCCTCTCCCTCTCCCTCACGGCTCGTCCGCTCCCTCTCCCTCTCCCTCCCCGCCCGCGCCTTCGCCGCCGCAGGAGACGGCGCGCTCCGCCATCTCGCAGATGCTACAGCTCGACATCCGGTCCGTGCATCAGGGTCGCGGCCGCCAGCCGGCGGCGGAGCGCGGCGCGGCGGAGCAGCTGTACAGCTGCCGCTTCGACGCGCTCGAGCTCGAGTTCGTCACCCTCGAGCAGCGCGTCGAGGTGAGGCGATGCGTGCAGCATGTGCCCGCCGGCTCGCGGCCCGCTCGGACGTAAGAGGGACTGAGTATTGATACGCATACGCATGTGCATGTGCATGTGCAACTGGTTGGGTAGTAGTCTAAGTTCTGAGCCTCGAGGCTGAGCGGGTCTAAGTGTGCTTAAGCACACTGGGGTGCTTACGCGGTCTAAGATCGGCGGCAGCCTCTTATGCGGGCTAAGTCTGCCGTGGCACGGCCTGGGGCCAAGAGGCTCCCACCGTGATCAACGATATGGCGCTAGCCCCCAAATCTTCTTCGCCTGCGGCGGGCGCCTTCTAATCCGGTAGTGTAGAGCGACCCTCTAGCCCTACTACCCAACCATTCATGTGCATGTGCATGTGCATGTGCATGTGCATGTGAGTTAGTGTGTCGGAACTGCAGCGCCCATATACACGTGTTTTACGTGTTACACACGGGCCTGTGTTCCGTCTTCCGTGTGTGGCGGCATCTCGTGTGCTGTACGTCTCACGACGAGGAGGCATGCCGTACAGAGAAAGCATAAGTGTGGAGCCACCATTCGGGCGCGCTTACTCACACCACTGTGCTATAGCGGGAGAACACATCCTGGCGCGCCCGATCGTAAAATCTCCTCAGACGAGCTCCCACTGCTCGTCGAGGTCGTCGTCCTCGGTTGCCGCCGGCGGCCGCCTGAGCCTTGGTGTCGAGGTGTCGAGGCCCGGTGTCGAGTCTGTCGAGCCAGTGTCGAGGGATAGAGGTGTCGAGGGGGTGTCGAGGTTTGGTGTCGAGGTGTCGAGGCCATGGCTCAGGCCGCCGGCGCCGCGCTGCGGCCGCGGCGCCGAACCGCTGAGAGCGACGCTCCCCTCAACCTGCTTCCACTGCCAGCTTTTGCGGTTGACCGACGGTGGGCGCCCGGCCTTCGCCGCCACCACCTCGAAACCCTCCTCCTCCGCCATCGTCACGCCCTGTAGCTCCTCGTCCTCCTCCTCCTCGTCGTAAAGGGCGGGGGAGACCTCCTCGTCGAGCGGGACGTCCGCCGCTGGAAGGACGACGCCGACAGACGCGAGGAGAGCGCGGCGCAGGGACGCCTCCTCCTCGAGATCGCATCGGCGTGCGCGCTTGGCGGCAGGGACGACAGCCTCTACGATCTCCCACTCAGTCGTCTCCTCCTCCTCCTCCTCTGGTGCACCGCGCTTGCAGGCCGAGGTGGCGGGCGGCGACAGCGGCGCAGCCCCAGCCCAGCCGGTGATGCCGGCAGAGGTGGCCTCAACACGCGCAATGCTCACGCTGCCCGGGAGAAGGTCGTTGTACGCTGCAAAATTGATGAGTGCGATTTCCACGAGGGCCGCCTGCTCGTCCAGTGCCTCGTCTTCCGGCAAGGCGGCTTCCGGCAAGGGCAAGGGCATGTCAGGGCAACGCTGCTCTGGCTGGACCATCGGCACCGGCACCGGCGCCGGTTCGGGCTGGCCCACCGGCACCGGCACCGGCGCCGGTTCGGGCGAGGCTCCGAATGGCGAGACGCCCACGAGCGCTGGACCCTGTGCATCAGGCGCAAAGCCACTTCCTAAGTCAATCAGCATGTCCCCGGCCAGATCGTCGAGCAGGAACATCTCATCGTCTGTGATGAACGGCGGGAGTGTGTCACGCAGATCGCAGAAGTCGCGTGCATTGCACAGCACATCCACATCCAAGTTGCGTGCTGCCATCCGCAAGTCGGCCGCGGCAACAAGCTCGACTTTTTCTTTTCTAATACGTGCAACAGCCGCCGCCTGCCTTGAAAGGCGTGTGAGCATGCTCAATCTGAGGACTAAGCGGCGCCCATCTGGCGCCCGTGAGACCGAAGACGCCGCGCAATCGGGGGACGGCGCGGACGGGGGGGGGGGGGGGCGGGGGGTTGGAGGCGGATAAATGATGTGAGTGGTGCTGGGGTCTGGGGTGGCGGCGTGCTGCGCAGTGCGGCCTTCAGCTCACGCGCGCGATGTGTCCCGCCGCGGGGCGCTCAGCGCGCGGGGATGACACGGTGCATTGCGGTTAGCATTGATCATGACATTTCCTTTTGATTTTGTACCCGTGGCGTGTTGTTGTCTTCAAAAACCGTATGGAAGTAGAAGAGCCCGGACGGATCGCATCCACACGGTGGGTGGGACAGGGTGGGTCACAATCCTCACAAACAAGCACGAGAGCGTATCGGCAGGCTGCGGAAGGTGATCAGTTCGAATCGAAATAACCCGGCGTACCGGCGGAGAATACTAAATAGAGCATGCGTCTCCAGGAGAGATGGGCGACGCACGGGACACAGAGGGACAGCGCGCCGACGGAGAATACTCGTAGGGGATCCGTCCCGCGTCCGCATCTGGAAATCTTTCCTAGGCGGAAATTCTTTCGCCTGTGTTAGTGCCAATGCGAGTGTCGGCCGCGAAATTCTTCTTTCCAGGCAGCTCTGCGCGTCGGCATTGTCGGTCCACGCAGGCAACGCGACATCTGCTCGACGCGCATCTGCTGGACGGCACTTTAGCTGTCTCTCGAGCGCGGCAGAGGCGGCGCTCTCACATGCCGTCGTGCTGCTTCTCCGCCCTCGTCATTTCTGGAACCTCGGCTATTCTCCTCGCCGGCGCCCTCTCCAGCCTTGACGGTGCTCTGAAGTTCGCCAGGCTCGACCTCGCTCTCCGCTCCTCGCTCGTCGACACGGCTGGCGCAGACCTCGAGGCCGGCCTCCCGACGGCAGCCCGCCTGGCGCTCCTCGCCGCCTTTGAGGTGCCCGTGGCCGTCGCCACGGGCATGGACCCGGCCGCCCACCTCGACGTGTATGTGCGGGCGAGCGGACGCCAGCCCTTTCTCTTCGGTAAGGGCATCGCCGTGCCCGGCTACGACGACGTGTCGACGCTCGTCTCGAGCCCACAGCAGGAGCGGAGGGCGATGGTGCTGGCACACCCGGTGCTGATCGCCGACCCGGTGCCGCCAGCGTGCATGGGAGGCGGCACTCTCATCTACCTCTCCACGGGCGCGAAGCACACCGCGCTGCGCAGAGCGATCGGCCGCGCCGTCACCGGCTTCGCCTTGAAGCGCGGGCGAGGCCCTCCGCTACTCTTCCCGCGCGGCGCTGCGCCGGCCGAGTGGGACTCGCGGGCGGTGCGGGAGACGGTTGTGTACAACCTCTTTGCGCGGATGTGCGACGAGCCTCCGAGCGAGCCGCTGCTCGAGGCGATGCTCTCGTACTTCGACACGCTGCCCGGCTGCCTGCTGTCGGAGGAATACTCCGCGATTCAATGAGTACTCCCTCTTGTCGTCCAGCAGTTGGAACTCAATAGGCGCCGCTGCTTGGCGCAGCGCTCGACTCGCAGGCCAACGCGACGCTCGAGACGCGACTCGCGCTCAAGGCGGCCGTCCTCGCCTCGCCGCTCGGGGGCCGGCTTCGCAAGGCGAACCGTGCAGACAAGCTCGACGCAGACGAGCTGGCGCAGCAGGTGGCGGACGGGCTCCTGTTCGCGGGCGGCTACGGTGCTCCTCTCTCCTCGCCGCCGCCTCTAGTTGGGCTGCAGCTTACCTCGACTCACCTCGTTTCGCCTCCGGTTGCAGGCACGACCCACCTGACCCTCGCCGCCCTCGAGCGGATCTCCAGCGACCCGGCGCTGTACGTGCCTCTCTGGGAGGCGGCCCCGGAAGCTAAGTCATCTCGGGTGATCTCGGGTCACCTCGGGTGACCTCGGGTGACCTCGGGCTATCTCAGGCGGACCCGGACGCCTTCCTCGTCGAGTCTGCGCGGCTCGACCCGCCCGTCACCTCGGTCTCCGCCATCGCACCGAAAGGCGGCCAGCAGCTGCAGGGCCCAGGAGGGGGGCAGCTGCGGGTCGCGCAGGGCGTGCCGATGCAGCTGCTCCTCTCCCACGCGAACCGCGACCCTGCCGTCTTCGAGCGGCCGTACGCCTTCGACCCGAGCCGGCGCAACCTCGACAAGGTCCTCTCGTGGAACGGCGTCGACGCGGCCGTGCGCGCGGGCCAGGCGCCGTGCGGTTGCCCCGCCTGCTGCCACCACCTGCCCCGCCTCCTGCCACCTGCCCAGTCCGCGACGTGTCCGCGACGTGTCCCTCAGGCGCCGCGCGGCTGCCCCGGCCGCGCCCTCTCGATCGACCTCGCGCGGCAGATTGTGGAGCAGAGCCTGCCGCCGCGCGACGCGCCCCCCGCCGCGCCGCGAGCTCGCGCGGCGCAGTGGCAGGTCGAGGCTGCGGTTCGTCCGTCGCCGGGGCAGGGCAGCTGCGACTACTCGGCGTCCGACCGCCCGAGCGAGGACCTCGAGCTGCGCAACGAGCATGACGACGAGGTGCCGCACGCCTGCTGACGGCGGCGTTCCCCGCCCACTCGTCACTGACTTGCTGGCACCCCCCGAAGGCGATGTATGCCTACTACGGCGCCGGGCTGGTCAACATCGTCCTCGGCGTCCTCGTCTCGCTCTTCGGCATCCCTGGCGAGGCGCGCGCCTCGCCACCGCCACGCCGCACGGCTAGCCAGACGCCCCTCAATCGCGGCGCGTGCGGATAGGCCTCCCTCTCCGTTGGCATCTTCACCGCCGCAGAGGCGTCTCGTCGTGCTCGGCCGGCTCTGTCTGCTGCCGAGGTTGCGCCGAGTTCACCCGAGACCGCGCGAGGTAGGCCCTCATCGTGCTCGGCTGGTTCTGCCTCAGCCAGAGACTCGCCTTTGGCGCGCTGTACGTCAAGGGCGACGCGGGCATCATCCGCGTGCAGAGCTGGCTCGGACTGCTGCACTACCTCGGCCAGGCCATCGCCGCCTTCTCGTGGCTCCGCCTCCACGCTGTCGTCACCCACGCCGACGACGCGCGCGCGCGCGCCGAGTCGGCCTCCGCGCTGCGCCTCTGCTTTGGCGTGATGGCCATCTTCGTGGGCGCGTTCGCCGTCTTCGGCACCGTCATCCCGACGCACATGCTGCAGGCGCCGCCGGGGGGCTGCTGGAAACCCGCCGAGAGACCGCCGAGATGCATTCATCGCAGAGACCGCTCAAAGTCCGCCGGAGGGCTGCTCTGTACCTCCCTCCAGGCGGCGGCGTGCGTACTCTTCGTCCCCGCTGCGGCCAAGTCGTGGATCGCGATCGCCATGTTTTGGTGGCGGCACGGTGGCGTGCTCGTGCTGGCGGCATGCGCCTTCATCGCCTTTTGGGTCGGCCAGGTGATCGCCGAGCAGCGCGGCATGTCGCTGATCGACTACGAGGCCGGCTCGGGCATCGGCGTCACGCTGCTCGCGCGCGGACTGTTGGGCGCGGAGGCGGCGCCGCACGCGTGGAAGTACGAGGTCTTTGCGCGCGGTTTCCTCGCGCCGAGCGTGTACTTTGCTGCGGCGGCGCACATCGACCGCGTTCAAGGGCGCGGGCTGGGGAGGGCCTACCCCTCGGAGCTCTTCATGAGGCGCGCGCTCCGCTTCAAGCACAGCGCTCCGGTGCTGCTCGCGCTGGCGCTCGCGGCGATTCATTCGTTCGCAATTCCGCGGTCCTTCGGCGACATCACCGGCTGCGGCGAGGGAGGGGGCGAGGCTGCCGGGCCGGAGTGCGCTGTCGACCCGACGGGCGGCCTCGACCAGTACACAAAAGTCTACTTCTCCATCATCCACCTCCTCGACGATGGGTCTCAGCCCGGCCCCTCCTTCGTGCAAGCGCCGAACCGGACCGTGCAGCCGCTGCCCAAGGAGCAGGTGGTGCCTGGCCTCGTTCTACCCAGCTACGACGAGGACGAGGGGCTCGTCACGTCGCGCGCGCTCGCGAACCAGGCCTTCAGCGGCTACGTCAAGGACGGCCGCCTCTACCCGCTCGAGGATCTCGACCTGCCGTGGCCCGAGAAGGACGGCGCCATCGAGGCGCTGATGGGACGGCTCTCGGGCAGCCTCGCGCCCGCCGAGCTGTACGACTACGACGCAAACATCGGAGGCGACTCGCTGATTGGCGACGCAGGCAATCCAGATTTCCCCCCCCCTGCGTCGCGGCGCTGGTTCAGGACGCATTCCCTCGAGATGTGTGCCCGACACGTCCCCCACAGGCCTCGCCCACCTCTGCTTTGCGGGGCTCGGCGCGCACGTCACGCGGCGGACGGCCGATGGCTACGAGGCGGACTTCACCTACCTCGCGCCGCTGACGGTGCGGCCAGGCTTCGAGCGGTACGGCGCAAAGGCGACATTCGACGCGGCGGCGCGTCCCGTCTCGATCTGGTGGTCGCATGGCGAGAAGGAGGTGAGGCCGGACGACGCCGCGTGGACGCACGCCAAGTTCGCCTTCCGCTCCAGCCTGCTCACCGGGGTCACTCTCAAGGACCACCTGGCGGCGACGCACCTCACGATCGCCGCGACGCTTGTCTCCGCCAGCCGCGACCACTTGCCGGCCACGCACCCGCTGCGCCGGCTGCTCAAGCCGTTCACGTACCGCACGATCGCCGTCAACCGCGCCGCCGGCACGCTGCTCGCACAATCGCTGCCAGCGTGATGCTGAGATGGGTGAGCGTGACGGGATTGCGGGTCAGGCCCGCTGCTTGTGCACGAGCTGTCGCTGCTGCACCACACCGTTGCCCTCGACGCCGCCGGGCTAGAGGCGGGCTTCGCTTTCGCCTTCAACCGCACGCGCGACACCTTCGACCCCGCCAACCCGGCGCGCTTCCTCGAGTACCCTCTCGAGTACCCCCTCAGCTCCGCCGCCGAGTGCGCTGCGACGCCGCCCTCGTCCCAAGCCGCCTGCGCCGACGAGGCCGACGAGCTCGCCGCCTTCGCCGCCGACGGCACCCGCTACCGCGCGGCGGTCCGCGAGTACGTCGGACGGTACGTGGGCATCTACTACGCCGACGACGCGGCGGTGGGGTCGGACGTGGTGCTAGCGTCCTTCTGGGCCGCGCTCGTCGCTCACTTCCCGCGCATCCCGCCGCTATCGTCGCGCGAGGCCCTCGTCGAGGTGCTGACCGGCTTCGTGTTCCACGTGACGGCAGGGCACCGGCACGTCGGCGCCGCCTACTCCGCCGTCAAGGACCCGAGGTACGCCGGCGCCAAGATCCGGCCGGGGAGGGACATGTCGGACGTGCAGGCAGCGGTGCAGGTGCTCGCCATCGCCCTCGTCACCGGCTTCAAGCAGCCGATGCTGCTCGGCGACTACTCGCACGTCTTCCTGCGCGACGGCCACCGCAACGCCACGCGCGCGCTGTGGAGCGACTTCCAGGCGAAGCTGCTCCAGGTGTCCGCCGAGGTCGACGAGCGGAACCGCGGGCCGAGGCGCTTCAAAGTGCGCGCCTTCGACCCGCGCGAGATGGCGACATCGGTGAGCATCTGAGCTGGGGAGGGCATCTTGGCCACAAGTCGAGCGAGGAAGGGCAGGTTAATCACTAGCGTGTTGCCGCCCGCCGCAGCGAAGCTTACAGGAGAGCGGGCGGTTTCAAGGCTGAGCTTCAGCTTGTACTCTGTAGATGGCGTGATCGTGTGTGACGTGTGTGTGTGAGTGTGCCAGTTGGGAGTGTCCATTGCTTTTGTCTAGTGATATATACAGAGACAAAAATTGCGGATGGTGGAAAACACAAAACAATGGTATCTCATCTCTCATCTCACGAGGTATCTCATCTTTCACGTAAATCTCTCATCTCTCATCTGCCGCGTGCCGGCCGAATCACTCGCTCGCCGCGCACTCAGCGCTCACCTTCCCTCCGGAGCGCTCTCGCGTGGCGACGCTGGCAGCCGAGCCTCAACGGCTGAACGATGGCTTCATGCGCTCGTACGCGTCGGCGAGCGCCTGGCCTCCGAGCGACGAGAGGATCTGCTTGCACACGGCGTCCGTCAGCGCCTGCGCGCCGCTGGCTGAGTTGACGTCGAGGCGCTGCGCCGAGCCGCCGCCGGTGACCGCCGCCATCTTCTCGAAGGACTCGACGGCGCGGTCGTGCATGTGGTAGCAGTGGACGGGCACGGGCTTGACCTGCTGGATGTCGTTCAAGACCTGCACCGCCTCCTTCTGCGCGATGCCGCTCGGCGCCCACGAAGGCCTCGCCGAGGACCAGTACCTCTCGCCGCCATGGTGGCCGCCCATGCGCTTGTGGGCCATGTCGCTCAGGCTGTTGGCCGACGCGTCGCCGATGAGAATGATCTGGTCGATCGGGCAGCTCTTGTGCTCGGCCAGCGCGTGCATCAGCCCGCACTCGATCGCCTCCTCGCCCCAGCCGCCGCGGGTCTCGAGCTGACCGAGGAACTGGGCGAGGTTGTGCGGCTTCGCCTCCCACGTCGACGCCTCGACGATGCGCTCGACGTCGACGTTGTAGTTGGAGTAGCCGGCGATCTGCAGCGCGAAGCCGGAGGCGATGTTCTCCGCGTCGAGCACCTTCTGGCAGCGATCGAAGAACGTGCCGATGCACGACTTGGTCTTCTCAATCAGCGAGTTCATCGAGTAGGTCACGTCGATGAGCATCAGCGTTCGGCTGGTGGTCGAGCCGCCCACGTGGTTGTACTTGCGCAGGAGCTTGGAGAGCTGCGACGAGTCGCGGCCGCCCGAGCTGCTAAAGGCGTTGAGCGCGGCCGCGGCCTCTTCGTGCTGCTTCTTTGCGTCCTCGGCCTTCTCGAGCCGCTCCTTCATGTCAGCGGCCGCCTGCGCCGATCGGATCTCGGACATCTTTTCATAGAGCGTCGAGTCGGAGAGCCACGCCTTGATGTCGTCCGCACTCGCCTTGCCACCGGCGAGGTCCTCGAGCTGGTCGGATCGCAACATCAGGCTAAACGAGCCCTTCTGGCCCTGCCGCGCGCCGCGGCCCATGATCTGGACCTCCTCCTGCACGTCGCGCGGGAAGAAGGTGAGCAGGACGTGCAGCCCGCCCACGGTGAGCATGTGCTCGTCGTCGACGACAAAGTCGATGCCGCGGCCGAAGGAGCGCGTGGCCAGCGTCACCTGCCCCTGGCGCGTCGCCTTGGAGATGAGCGACGCGCGCTCGTCGGGCTGGTTGCACGCGGCCTCGGTGAGGCGGTTCGCGCCGTCCTGGAAGCGGCGGAAAAAGGACGAGTCGAAGTAGGCCTGCAGCTCGTCGAGGCTCTCGAAGAAGACGAGCACCGACCGCTTGCCGTCGTACGACTGGCTCGTCGGCTTCAGCCGCCGCGAGATCTCGTCGGTGATCATCAGGAAGTGCTCGTTCTTCGACTCGCTCACCTTGACGTTGTCCTTGCTCGCCGGGTCCCAGTCGCGCACGCAAGGGCCGTACATCGACGGGCAGTAGGTCATGTGCTTGATACGGATCTCGTCCTCGAGGAGCTCGCGCGCCTCCCTGGGCAGCCGCCCCTCGCGCAGCGTGCCCGTCACGCCGAGGATGAACTTGTAGAAGGCGGGCACGTGGTCGGAGTACCTCTCCGTCGACGGGAGCAGCGCGTAGGAGAACTCTCCGCAGACGGCGTACAGGTGGAGGCCGTGGTCGAGCAGCTGCTCCTCGCTGATGCTGCCCTTGTCGCACAGGTCAAGGTACACGCAGTTGGTCATCCACATGTACGTCAGCTTGTCGGAGCGGACGAGCCCGTCCTGCTGCTTGTACCACACCCAGCCGTCGATGAGCTGGTAGTCGGAGCCGCGCACCTGCGGCTTCTTCTTGAAGTCGGCCGCCGCGCGCTGCATGTCCAGCGCCGCCGACTGCGCGTACCACTCAAAGCCGTGCTTCTTCTGGTCGCCCTTGAAGATGACGGCGGGCTTCTTGAAGAGGCCGGCGTACTCGGGCAGGTCGGTGACCTTCTGGCTTGGGTCATTCCAGATCGCGCGCATCAGCTTGGAGACGCGCTCGTCGCCAATCGTCAGGCTCGGCCGGTAGACGCCGCCGAAGAAGTTGGGGTCGAGGAAGACATCGACCTCGTCGATGAGCAGCACGCGCGTCGGCGCGTGGTCGGGGCCGTGGCTGCCCGCGAGCGGCTGCCCGGTGAGCGACGCCTGCATCTGGCTGCGCACGTCGCCGTGCTTCTCCGTCATTAGCCGCTCGCTCAGCTCGTCGAAGGTGCCGTAACGAATGAGCTCCGCGCGGCCGTCGTTCAAGCCCAGCGCATCGAAGAGGCTTGCGAAGGCGTCGTTGTCGCGGCTCGAGAGGTTGCCCGAGTAGCAGACGCAGTCGACGTGGTAGCCGTACAGGGCGAGGGTCGCCGCGGTGACGGCCAGCACGAGCGACTTGCCCTCGCCGGTCGGCACCTCGGCGATGTGGTTCTCGAGATGCACGCGGCCCGAGTCGACCGAGCCGAGGAGGCGGAGGATACACAACGCCTGCACCGGGTGCGGCGCGCGCGTCGTCACGCCGCCGTCGCCGGACGACGCGCTCTCGTCCTTGGTCTCGAGGTAGAACTGGACGGACCACAGCGCGCAGATTGCCGCGAGGACCTTGGGCACCTGGTTCTGCGAGTCGTCCCTGAAGCCGGCCCAGTTGGCAGCCGCCTGAGCCATCTTCCCTGCGCGCCCCGCGCTGCCGGCAGCTCGGTGCGAGCGCGAGTACACGGTCTTGGTGCGCTCCTTGGCCTGCATGACGAGCCACTCGACCGGCCTGCCCATCACGCCGGTGCCGAAGGCCCAGTTGAGGTCCTGCTGGTACTGGGCCTCGTACTCGCGGAACCTCTTCTCGAGCGTGGGCCGGTCGATGCCCGGCTCGCCTTCGATGCCCTTGAGGACGTCGGCAAAGTCCATCTGCGTGCGCTGGTTGAAGAGCTCGACCTTCATCGCGGCAAAGACGTCCGACGAGTTGACGAGCGAGTTGCCGAGCACGCTGTCGAGCGATTGGACCGCCGTGGCGAGCATCGTCATCGACGTCGGAAACTTCTTCTTCAGCGCGACGAGGATCTCCTTGATTGCCTCGCGCGTCACCTTGGCCGCGAGAGGCACGCCGTCCTCGAACTGCTTCAGCTGCATCAGCAGCTGCGCGAGGTCCTCCGCCCTCTTGGCGTTCGGGATCGCGCCGAGCGCGGCGTCGCGCATCGAGTGCGCGTGCGCCCGCAGCGCCTCCTCGTAGCACGCCTGACGCGCGCAGGCGCACTGGCTGAACTCGGCCATCTCGACGAGGTACTCGAAGCGGCGGAGGCCCTTGAGCGCCGCGTCGGCCTCCTTGTACTTCTTGCCCTGCAGCCGCGCGTCGAAGTGCTGCTTGAAGTCGCTCATGAGCGCGGTCACCTTGGTGGTGATCTCCTTCCGCTTGAGGCGCACCTCCTCGACGCGGAAGGCGAGCTCGTTGACCAGCTTGTCCATCTGGCCGCACAGCGCGAGCTCGAACGGCTCGCGCGGCAGTGGCGGGTCGGTGCTCGGGTCGTACTTGGTGATGAGCCGCTCGAGCGTCTCGTCAAGCTGCTTGCAGATCACCTTGCCCGCGTTCCTGACGCGATCGTTGTGCTTGCCGAGCAGCGTCACGAGCGCACCCAGCTTGGGCGCCGACGGCGGGAGCGGTTCGTAGGATAAGGAGGGTGAGGCGGCTGCGGCGGCAGGGGGGCCGACTGGGACGAGGCTCTCGAGCTGCACGAGGAAGTGCAGGATCGACTCCTCGCCGGGCATACCCTCCCACAGCTGCAGCCGCTCGAGGGCGGCGCCCATCTTCTCCAAATCTTTCGGGTACTGGGCGGGGGTCATCGAGTCCTCCTGAAGCGACTCGAGCAGGTCGCGCAGCAGGCCGAGAACCTCGGACGCACTGGAGCGTGCCTCGGATGCGCGGGTCTTCATAATCTCGAAGACGAACCTGACCGGGTCGACGTTCTCGCCGCCCTCGACGAGGCGTGTCGCGCGGTGGGCGAGGTCGCGATCGTCTATGGCATCGATCGCCAGGCGCACGAGCTCGACGTAGCCCTTGAGATACATGCGGAGGCTGGTGTTGAGATTGGCCTCGTCCTTGCACGTCGAGGAGAGGCTCGCGACGATGCTCTTCAAGCCGGTGCTCACGTCGCCGTACAAACTGTGCAGCGAGCGCTCGCACTCGACAAACGGCTGCGTGTCGACCGCGCCGCAGACCTCAAAGGTGTCGTGCTGAACGAAGCTCCGGATCCTCTTCATCAAGTCGCTAAGCTCGGTCGCCTTCCACGTCTCGAGGCCGGCCTTGCAGAGGGACTTGAACTGATTGCACGCGGACACGTAGCTGCCGCGGTAGCGCTCGACGAAGTCGGAGAACTCGCTCGGCATCTGCGCGTGGTCGTCGATGATGGTCGCCTGCTCGGACGGCTCCTTGTGCTCGAATCCGACGACGACGAAGCTCATCCTGCGCGCGGCGAGGCGCTTCTCGGCGAGATCGAGGTCGTCATCGTTGATGCACAGCTTCTGGGCCATCAAGGCGGTGACCTCGTTGCTCAGCCAGCGCTTGAACGCGGTGAGGTCCTTGTCGATCGCGTTGAGCTGGTCTGGCTGGAGCTTCTGCCACTCGTTCGACAGCACCGGCTGGAAGCGCCGCCGGAACTCGGCTTGGACCTGCTCGATCAACCCGTGGAAGGCGGTTTGGTACTCGGCCTGCAGTGTGCCACGCTTCTTCAGCTGCTCGAGCTGCGACATCAGGCTCGACGTCGACGAGAGCCACTGCTTGAGGTTGCCCTTGGCGGCGGTGGCCTCGATCGCGGGGCTCGACGCGTCGACGAGCTGCCTCAGGTAGGCGACCTGCTGCGTGCGCGCCTCCGCGATCGCCTGCTGCGCCTTCTCGAAGAGGCCATCCGCGCCGCGCAGCTTGTCGACCAGAAGGCTGATCTGGTGGATGCCCTCCGCCGAGTGCTTGAGCTCGTTGCTGTCGAAGGCCGAGAGCAGCGGCGCGAGGGCGTGCTTGAGGCTGTGGTAGAGCTCGTCTTTGGCCTGCTCGACCTCCGCCTTGAGATCGAAGAACTCGGGCGACGGCTCGCCTCGCTTGGCGGCCGCCTCCTGCATGCTCTGCTGGTTGCCCTCGAGGAAGACGGCGTGGTTGGTCCGGAGCGCGCCCTGCAGGCTGTTCCACGGGCAGACGATCCGCTCCCTCTCGTCGAAGCTGGCCAGCCCCTCGGGCGGAGTGAGCTGGACGAAGAGGCAGCCCAGCTTGAGATCCTTGATGATCCTCACGAGCGACTGCTTGAGCTCGAGGCACGCGTCGGCGTACTCGTCCGACTCCTCGCCCACCGTGCGCAGGTCGACCATCTTGCGGTGCGCGGTCGCGTTGAACTCGCCCTTGGCAAAGTACCTGGTCACCTCGTTCTGCACCGCGGCGATGCGCGTGTGGTGGCGCTCGGTCAGCGACTCGTGGCGCATCTCGACGTCCTTCTTGAGCGGCGCGAGCTTGGCCTCGCTCGTCGGCAGCGCGCGCTCGAGCTCAGCGAGCGTCGCCGTGAGCGCCTCTCCCTGGGTGACGTTCATTCTCTGGAAGATCTGGTGGGAGGACTTCAGCGCGTGGAAGAGGGCCGTCTCGAGAGTGGTGAAGTCCGGCGTCGGGTCGTCGCCCTCGATGTCCTCGTAGAGCATCTCGAACAGCACCGGGTACTTGTGCTTCGAGTACATGACGCGCAGCACGCCGGCCGCGTCCATCGAGCACTCTCGCGAGTCGTGCAGCTTCTCGTGGCACTTGCCATTCTTGATAGCATCGGCCAGATCGAGGACCCGGTTGCGCATGTGGTCGAACTCCTGCTGCGCGCGCGCCTTGCACAGCGTGCCCGCGTGGCGCAGGTTGAGGCACGTGTCGTGCAGCCACTCGTCGAGCGTGCCGAGATGCGCGGCGAGGTCGATGAACGCGTCCGAGCGGTGGAGCGCGTCCCAGACCGACTTGTCGACCTTGGGCGCGTCGGGCGTGGCCGACCACGAGATTTGAGCCTGCAGCATCGACTGGTCGGCGATCTTGGCCTCGATGATCTTCTGCACCGCCGCGCAGCACGTGTCGAAGAGCTGCTTGAGCTCGTGTGCCTTGCCGCCGGCCGCTGCCTCCCGCCAGAGCGGCGCCATCTCGACGAGGCGGCGGAAGTCGTCGGCAGCCCTCCGGTGGAGGCCCGCGCGCAGCCTCGCATCGACGCTCTCCGGCCCGCACGCGAGCCCGCGGAGGCGCTCCTCGAAGGCGGCCCACATCTGGCCCACCGCACGCGTGATGGTGACGTCGCCTGCGAGCTTGTCCCACCACGCGGTGTCCTCGACGAAATAATGGTTAATAAGTTCCAAGTGCCTCATAACAAACACGGTACCAGGACAGGGGATCGAGAGGTGCACGCTGCTGCCGAAGCAGTGTCGTCCCGCCTCTCCATCATCTCACTGGGAAAGGAGAAGACTTTAGTCTTTACGGCTTAGCGAAGTCTAGCCGCTGCAGCCGAGGTGCGCCCATCCGCCCAAGTGCCAAAAAAGAGCAGAGATGTGCGCCGGCACGAACAGCCAACAGCTCACTGCTCAGCAACCCACCAGCGCAGGAACAGTCGATTTGCCTTTGAGAGGCACGGGATAGGCCGGCGAAATGTTCCTTTTTCAGTTGGAGCAAGCCAAAACAATATCACGAGCGGATGGGGTGGAGAGCGCAAGACCAAGAGCGCAACGCGGGCCGCCCCCACCGCCCCACGCGACGACCGTCACAATGCCACCATCATCACTTGCAGTGATGGTCGGACTTCATCTTGCACCGCTTGTCGAGCATATCCTCCCTCGTCACTCCCTCCGCCACCCGCTCCGTCACCGTCTTCCACGAGTTCCACGTCCCCGTGCTGTTCTTGTACACCTTGTACGTCACCTCCTTCGACGCCTGGTCGGCCCTGGCGGCGCGCGCCTTCTTCGCGTCGCGCTCGGCGCGGAGCGCCTCCATATCAGGCGCTTTCCTGAGCGGCGGGTACGGCGGGCCGGTGAGCGGTCGGCGGTCGGCGGTCGGCGGCGTGCTGCGCGGCGAGGGGAGGAGGGGAGGAGCGCACCGCACAAACATGAAGCTGATCGGCGCCGAGACGTCGCAGCTAAAGGGCTGTGTGAGGTTGAGCGAGCCCTTGCCCAGCACCATGTTAACCACGCGCGACTCGTCCACCGTCGTGTTGCGATAGCGGTCCGTGACGGTGACGAGCAGCGAGTCGCCGACAGACAGCTCGCGGTCAAAGGCGGTGCCGTGGCCCATGACGACCACGCCCGAGCTGGTCAGCTCGCCCGTCCCGGGCAGCGGCGTGTCGGACCACTCGGGCACCTCCAGCTCCGAGTCGCTGCCGCCGGCCGCGCCGTCCGCGGGGTGATCGCGCTTCTTCTTCTTCTTCTTCTTCTTCCGGATCCCGTCGAGCCCGCCCTCGCCGCCGCCGCCCTTGAGGCTCAGCTTGCCGCCGAGCACGAGCCCGAACGAGGCCGTGTGCTTGGAGGACGACATGGGCCGCGCAGCGCCGCGGCTCTCGGTCGCGGTGCTCGTGCTCGCTGTACGCGCACGCTAAGACCCGCTGCGCCGCACGCGCACCCTGTCGGGGTAAGGAAGAAGAAAACCATTGCCGGGATGTGGGCGCACTACGACGCGAATTGGGTCAAGAAAACCCTGTCAGCAGTTCACCTAGGGGTATGTTCGTAAGAGCTACATACACTGAGAAAGCCATAACGCGGCTGGTGCTCGTGGAAACTTTGGGAGGCATTGCGCCGCCCACCAAGCAGTTCCTCCACAATCTCTCTCTCTCCCCAACACGGCTCTCTCTCTCTCTCTCCCAACACGGAAGAAGAGAATCCCCCTCCCCCCCCCGTGAGTCGCCCTGCCCCAGCCGTCCAGAGCATGACCTCTGGCGAGCCAGCCAGCCCCACTCTGCGGGCGCCAAGAAGAAGAAGAAGAAGCAGACGTCGCGCACGCGGCAGGAGAAGAAACAAGGCAAGCGCGAGGCGGCGGCTCGAGAGGCTGCCGCTGCCGCGGCTGCCCGCGCGGCTGCTCAGGCGGCTGCTCAGGCCGCTCAGGCGGCCGCTCTCGGACGGTACAGATTGGTCAACGCTTGGTTCTACCCTCGCGGCGACTGGTATACCTTCTACTGGGACGGCAGCACGGCCGACAAGGTCGCAAGGCGCGCTACCTACCCGACGCTCGAGCACGACAACTACGACCCCGGCCCCCTCGCAGAGCGCATCAGGCGCGACAAGCGCGAGTTCTCCGACCACTCCGCCGACGACTCCTCCTCCGACCGCGACTCATGCGGCACCGGCTCCACTAGCGAGCCGAATGACATATTCGACACCCTCGAAGACCATCTCGGCTACGGTTCCGACTCCGGCTTCGGCCGGTAGTCGACAAGCTGCCGAGCCCAAATCACTCTGTGTGCCACATTTCTTGTTGGCTTCTAAAAATCTCTCTCTCCCAACACGGACCGGACGGTGTACGGGGCGGCGTCGGCGAGCGCCTCATCCTCCTTCGTCGTCCACACCACACGCAGCAGATCTCCAAGGCGGCGGTGGCGGGCGACGCCGAAAACATCAACAAGCAGGCGCGCAAGGAGCGTACCGACTGGATCAACAAGCAAAAGAACAAGCAAGCGACAAACGGCTTCTTGTCCTCGGCCCCAGTGGGGGATGCCCGCGCCGCCTAGCTCTGCAGACGGGCCCCTCCACCCTTCATGTAATCATGTAGTCCCCACATCCGCAATCGTGGGATCGCTTGTCATCTGAGAGAAAAAGAAAGAAAAAACAGACAACCCAAGGGAGGGATTCATCTGAGAGAGTGCGTAGTCTTTTACTCTTTTTCTCTCTTTTTCCTGACGAGGATGCGCTTTTGGCCGGTGGCCTCCTCGGACACCACTACCCCTTCACTCATTACAGGAAGGGTGCAGCGAACAATAAATTTCTTTTTCCTAGTGCGCGCCAGTCCCGTGCCCAGTGTAAAAGAAAGAAAGAAAACAGACAACCCAAGGGAGGGATGGGAGGACGGCACGCCGCCACCACACAGGGATTTTAAGGAGAGGTGTGTGGTGCGCTAGCCGTCGCCCACCCTAGGGAGTCTGCCTCTTCCTATCTCTTTTCGCAGTCTCTCGCCGCTTCTCGCTGCAAGCTTCATGCCACCTCGCGGTCGTCCCACTCTCGTCGTTCTCTCCCTTGTCATTTCCTCCTCTGTCGCGTTCTCCTCTGCTTCGTTCTAAGAAAGAAAGAAAGAAAACGGACACCCCAAGGGAGGGATGGGAGGCTTCGTTCTAAAAGAAAGAAAGAAAACGGACAACCCAAGGGAGGGATGGGAGGACGGCACGCCGCCACCACACAGGGATTTTAAGGAGAGGGGTGTGATGCGCTAGCCGTCGCCCACCCTTGGGCGTCCGCCTCTTCCTATCTCTCTTCGCAGTCTCTCGCCGCTTCTCGCTGCAACCTTCAACATGCCACCTCGCGGTCGTCCCACTCTCGTCGTTCTCTCCCTTGTCATTTCCTCCTCTGTCGCGTTCTCCTCTGCTTCGTTCTAAGAAAGAAAGAAAGAAAACGGACACCCCAAGGGAGGGATGGGAGGCTTCGTTCTAAAAGAAAGAAAGAAAACGGACAACCCAAGGGAGGGATGGGAGGACGGCACGCCGCCACCACACAGGGATTTTAAGGAGAGGGGTGTGATGCGCTAGCCGTCGCCCACCCTTGGGCGTCCGCCTCTTCGCAATGCGCGTCACAAACTGCCTCGGATTGGCTGCTGGCACTCTCGAGGCTATGCCTACACAGCCTCGCGCGCATGGGCAGTCAAGAGGGACCATGCACCTTCTCAGGACAGCGCCGGTGCCTCTCTCTTGGACCGGCAAACGTGGTGGTCTCGTGTCACCGATGTGGGACCAGTGCGGCATCGCGCCATCGACAGCTCTGAACTGCGCCTCACCACTGACCGGGAAGGCCGCCAAGTGGGTCAGCACCGGTCGCACATTGTGGCAGCAGTCAGCAGCGCATGTCTGATAGCTAGAGCAGCAGCGTCAGGGTCGCAGGGTCGGATCGTGTCAAGCCTCTCGCCCGGCCGGCCGTGTGCAGACGTCGGCCTGTCTGCTGTCTGGAGTGATCTGTCGGCGGTCAGTACGACCGATCAGGTTGGAGTTTTCTGATGATTGGAGGGTCTATCTGTATGTACTCCTCGAGATCTCTCCAAATCTGCCCTCTACTCAACCACTCATTCGGGAAGTCGGTGCTAGTAGAGACTAGTAGAGCCGGAGCCCCGTTTCCGCGCTGCTGCGCGGCGCACGGTGCCTCCGGGGGCCCCCGCCTCCCCCCAGAGGTTGTTTGTCTTTCCAGTCGAGTGGTCGAGCGGTCCGTCCACCTGTGACCTGACGGCCACGCTCCTTGCACCCCACGACTCCCGTCAACGCCTTGTCCAGCGTGTTTCCAAACCCGTAGAGGTGGCCCACCGTCCCACCGACGCCACATTGCCACCATTGTCCCACGTGCCACGAGCCCCTCCCCAACGTCGTCGAACTGAGAGGGTTCCAGCACTTGACTTCGTAGTGCACGTCCCAACACAAGAACACAACGCACTCTCTCACATGACAAGCGATCCCACGATTGCGAATGTGGGGACCACATGATTACAGGAAGCCGCGAAGCATTCTTTTCTTTGCGGGGGCCGAGAGTCGACGAGGCGAGCAGCCCTCCTGTCGTGGCGGGGCGAATGGGCAAGGACGGCAAGCAGAAGGTGGCGGGCGGCTCCGGAGCGGCGGCGCAGGACGCGCACGACTTCCTCATCAAGCCGCAGAGCAGCACGCCGCCGCTCGACACGTCGCAGTGGCCGCTGCTGCTGAAGAACTACGATCAGCTCAATGTGCGGACCGGGCACTATACGCCGATCCCGAACGGGAGCACTCCGCTCAAGCGCCCCCTCGCCGAGTACCTCAAGTATGGCGTCATCAACCTCGACAAGCCCGCCAACCCGTCGTCGCACGAGGTCGTGGCGTGGATCCGCCGCATCCTGCGGACAGAGAAGACTGGGCACTCGGGAACGCTGGACCCAAAGGTGACGGGGTGCCTGATCGTCTGCCTCAACCGCGCCACCCGCCTCGTCAAGTCGCAGCAGGGCGCCGGCAAGGAGTACATTGCCATCGTGAGGCTGCACGACGCGATTGACGGCGCGCGCGCGCTGACGGGTGCGCTGGAGCAGCTGACGGGGGCGCTGTTCCAGCGGCCGCCGCTCATCTCCGCGGTGAAGCGGCAGCTGCGCGTGCGCACCGTCTACCAGAACACGCTCATCGAGTACGACAATGAGCGCCACCTCGGCATCTTTCGCGTGTCTTGCGAGGCAGGCACGTACATCCGGACGCTCTGCGTGCACCTAGGGCTGGTGCTGGGCGTGGGCGGGCACATGCAGGAGCTGCGCCGCTCGCGCTCGGGCGCGCTGAGCGAGGCGAAGCACATGGTGACGATGCACGACGTCCTCGACGCCCAGCACCTCTACGACACTCAGAAGGACGAGGCATACTTGAGGCGCCGCCACGCCCTCCCCCCCCCCCCCCCCTGCCCCACGCCACACCGCCGGCCACAGCGGGCCCCGCCCCTCACACGCCGCGCCGCCCGCGGCCGCAGGCACGTCATCAAGCCGCTCGAGCTGCTCCTCACGCGCCACAAGCGGCTCGTCCTCAAGGACTCCTCCGTCAACGCCGTCTGCTACGGTGCCCCGCGCCGCCCACCTCAACCCCCTTGCCACCCACCCCACCCCCCTGCCCCACCCCCCTGCCCCTGCCCTTGCCCCTGCCCCTCCTGAGAGACGCGCCCGCCCCCCCAAGGCGCCAAGCTGATGCTGCCGGGGCTGCTCCGCTTCGCCAACGACATCGAGGTGAACGAGGAGGTGGTCCTGATGACCACCAAGGGCGAGGCGGTCGCCGTCGGCATCGCGCAGATGACCACCTCGGACATGGCGCACTGCGACCACGGGGTGGTTGCCAAGATCAAGCGCGTCATCATGGACCGCGACACGTACCCGCGCCGCTGGGGCCTCGGCCCGAAGGCGCTGCAGAAGAAAGCGCTCATCGCCGAGGGCAAGCTCGACAAGCACGGCAAGCCAAACGAGCTCACGCCGCCCGAGTGGCGTCCGGGGTATGTGCCGCCGCGCGAGCCGGCGGCGGCGGCGGCGGCCGGCGGGGCGGACGGGGGGGAGGAGGCCAAGGTCAAGAAGGAGAAGAAGGACAAGGGCGAGAAGAAGAAGAAGAAGCGCGACGGCGACGGCGAGGAGGACGGCGAGAAGAAGAAGAAGAAGAAGAAGGACGCCGCCGCGTAATCCGGCCCCCTCCCTCCCGCCGCAGAGAGAGCGCGGCCCACCGGTCAGGGACCGGTGAGCGCCGCCCGGCGATCACTGTCTACGTCGAAGCATGTCGTGTGTTGTCGTCCCCAGCCCCAGCGCCTACCAGAGCCCCTTCCCAGCTCTTCTGCGACAGTCTGTCCTCGAGGGCCCCTCGCCTTCGCCGAGTTCATATGTGCGATGTGAGCGAGAGGAGCCGTGTGCGCGTGATGGGTGCAAGACTTGGAGAGAGACGCGTAACGCGACTGGCGCCGGGGTAAAACGACGAAGAAACGAGAGTCGGAGAGAGAGCTGAGAGGAACGCAGAAAAACCGTTTTAAACCCTTTTAGGCCAAGACGAGCGACGACCAACAAACGCCCCCCCCCCCCACCACCACCACCACCTCCCCCCCGCGCCGCGGGCCGCCCCCCCGCTGCACCGAACAAAGCACAAACCCACCTCTAGAGAGCGGACGGGGGCACGGGCCACGGCTTGTGCGGAGGAAAAAAAAACCGCCAGTGGACGCAGAGGAGCACACGCAGGTAGGACCGCCAGGGGAGGGACCAAGGGAGGGGAGGACGGCCGACGCCGCGCCGAGAGGGTATATAAACTTAAAGTCCTGATTTCATCCGCCGCGTCTCAACTCTCCACGTGTAAACAGATCGTACCGCACAGGAGGGATCCGGAGAGAGGCCGGCGACGCGAATCCCGGAGAACGCGCAACCTCTCCTCCAACCAATGCCGCTCCTCTGAGGTCCTCAAAACGACTTGTGCACTGCATCCTCCGGGCGTGGGTGGCGCAGCCGGAAGGGCGTGGCAAACTCGCGGAGCTGCTGCATGAAGTCGCTGCTCGCCGTGTCCTCCGACGCGCGCGGCACGGCGGCGAGGTCCTCGGGCGCCAGCTCGCCGATGTAGAACTCCTTGAGGTAGGTGAAGCTCTCTCTCGAGGCGTGGTACAGCTCGAAGAAGACGGTCGAGTCGGCGTTGAGCGCCTGCTGCGGGATGATGGTGGCGCCACCCGGGTGCTCCGGCAGCCACGCCTCGAGGTCGAAGACCATCCCGTCCATCGTCACCCAGCAGCCGCCTCGCTCGTCGTTGTGCCGGACGACATCTACCCAGCGGTGCACCTGCAGAGGTGCAGCCGAGGTGCAGCCGAGGTGCAGCCGAGGCGCAGCCAAGGCGCAGCCGAGATGCGTCCGAGGTACGTCCCGAGGTGCAACCGAAGTGCAGGGCCAAGATGTGGCTCCTGCACACGCTCCTCGAAGGCGCCGAGCTTGCGCGCGCACGCCTCGCGCAGTGCTCTGCAGCCCAGCGCCGCCGCCGCCGCCGCGAGCTGCGGTAGCGTCTGCATGTCGAACTCGTACGGCCGGCCGCGGTTCGCCGCCTCGAGGAAGAGGAGCACGCGGTCAAACGTCGAGCAGTCGACGTCGACGACCGCCTCGCCCGAGCCGCTCTCGTCGCGCACCGCCCTCGTGAGGGTGATGCAGGGCTTGAGCAGCCGGCGGTGCACAGGGAAGACCTCCCCGTCGCTCGTCTCCACCAGGACCGCGTTCCGGGGCGGCTCCGCCGGCGCTGCCTCCACGTTGACTAGCGCGAGCCCCTCGCACACCGCCCGCTGCGAGGCGCTCGATGCAAAGACGGTCGAGCGGCCGACGTACACGCGCGTCCGGCTGCCCACCAGGCCGCGGAAGCAGTGGCTGGAGTGGACAACGCGCGAGTCGCCCTCGCCCTCGCCCTCGCCCTCGTCCTCGCCGCCGCCCATCTCGTCGTCCTCGTCCTCGTCCTCAGCCTGCTGCGGCAGGCAGCCGGTCGCTCGCAGCACGAGCTGGGCGCCAGACACAGAGACGATGAAGACTTCGTTGTCGCTCACCATCTCGCCAAAGAGCCACTTGCCCACCTGCCGGCCCAGCACCGCCGCATCCTGCACAAGCCGCTCGCCCTCTGGCCGTGCGTGCAGCAGCTGCGCCTCGACGCTCAGCGCGGCGAGCGGCGGCTCGTCGGCCGGTGGCCGGTAAGGCACCCACTCATAGAACTCGTCCTCGCAGACGTGCAGCGACAGCCGCTGCGCCTCGCCCAGCAGCACCTCACCCTCCGACACTGGCACGTCCGCCACGGCGCGAGCGCTGAGTATGAAGTCGCCGCCCGGCCGGCAGAGCATCGCGCGAGAGCCTGGCGCCGCGCCGAGGGCTGCGAGCGTCGCCGGTGCGACGAGTGCCGCCTTGAGGTGCGCGTTGCTCTCGCCGCCGAGAACCTTCTCACGCGCCACCACCCGCAGAGGCACGCCGTCGGGATTGACGCAGGCGAGGCTGTCGGGCCGGAGCTTGAGCTTTTCGAGCTTCGTCACCGCGTCCTCCGCGCCTGCCTGACGCCGCTTGCGCTGGCCCTGGTGGCCCGAGGCCTTCATGTTGACCATGCTGGTTGCTCTCTCTCGTCCAGCCTGCGATAAAAGTTTTTTCTCTCAAGCAAAGAGCGGAAAACGATACCACAAAAACACAACGCACTCTCTCACTACATGAGTTGTTGTCTGTTAAATTAGGTGCCCTGTAGGCTTGGCTGCAAAGGGGATTTTTGTTGTGCCGACCTCGATCTTCGTGTGTGCTCCGCTTCTGAGAGAGAGATTTTGAGACATGAGAGAGAGAGAGAGAGAGAGAGAGAGAGAGAGAGAGAGAGAGAGAGAGAGCCGAGATAGAAAGAGGGAGATTTTGAGTGAGACGGTTTAGAGAGAGAGAGAGAGAGAGAGAGAGAGAGAGAGAGAGAGAGAGAGAGAGAGAGAGAGAGAGAGAGAGAGAGAGAGAGAGAGAGAGAGAGAGAGAGAGAGAGAGAGGGAGGGAGGGAGTACATTTCTTTCTAATTTTATTTCGCCTCGAGCTGTGGCCTGTGCTTAAAAGTTAATCTTAAATCTCTCTACAACCTCCAATCCCCGTCCTTGCTTGCGTCCCCCCATGCCGGTGTGTCCAGTCGCTGGCCAGCCTCTTCTAAACCAACACTCCCGTTTCCCAAGAAAAGAAAAGTCCAAGCCTTCCTCGATTTCCGAGAGAGATTTTTAGCAATACCTGTCGATTTCCGCGAGCGGCGTCTCACAAAAAGCCTAGCCGTCCCGGCGCAAGAAAAGCCTTGCCGCCGAGCTGTCATTCCTTCTGCAGGCCGCGTGCAGCGACGCGCGAGTCCTGGCGGCGCAGCCGCCCCGCCGTGCGGACCATGGCCAACCAGCCCGTCGACGCGCCCGACGACGTGACCTCAGCCGGTAAGTGTCGAGAGCGCCCCCCGGCCAAAAGTCGACGATCCTCGCTCGCCGCCTCGCCCCTTCCGGCGGCGCGGCGGCGCCCGCGACGGGCGGCTCGCCCCACGGCGCACCCCGCCGCCGTAGATACTCGAGGTGCTCGCCCTCCAACGACGCCGCGGGGGCGGAGGGCCGCGACCCGCTGGGCCGGCTGCCGCCCCCGCGCCTGCCGCCCCCGCGCCGCCCCCGCGCCGCCGTCGGCGGCGTCCAGCGCAAGCGCCGCCGCCGCGTCGCGCGCCGCGCGGGCAGCCTCGACGGACCAGAAGCCGTGCTCGTCGTACCCGGCGTCCCACACGCCCAGCGAAGGGCTGAGTGCCGTCGCGAGACCTCGGCACGCCTGCGCACGCCTGCGCACGCGGCAGAGCGACAGCGGCACCACCCTCGTCGGGCGCCGACGAAGCGTGCTCGCGGGTCGCCGCTCCGTCGACCGACGGCCGAGACACTTGCTCCGACGCCACCCCGCCCCCGCCCCGCCGGTCCGGCGCCGATATCTCGGAGGACGACCTAAGGAAGAGCGTGGCGGCGCGTCCCCGGGGAACGGCGCGCTCGTGCTCTCCCCCCAAGATCAAGGGAGGGGGGGGGGG